GCCAGCCGGAGTATCAGAGAGTAATATACAGATATACATAAACAAGTATAGTCATAATGGAGTGAATAAAAAATATGAGAATGGGTGTGGGAGCAAAAGGATGAAAAAAGCTAGTAATAGTGAATGAGATAGAGAAAGGCTTTTTTTACCAATGGACGTATACCGCACGGCCGAACGATCGCGCTCTATTGATTAGAATTCCAATTATTGGCTCGGACTGAGAGGTAGTAGTCCTTTTTTCTATATTGTTTTTTCCATTTTTTTCATCATTTATTTATTTTACTTTACTTTATTTTATCCGTATTCTATCATTTTTCCTCCCTTATTCCACAACTACTCTACCGCACTTATTTTCTTATTTTACTCGTTACTTCTCGGTTCTCTCGATCCAATATTACCTTTATTTTTTCGCTTTCCTATTTACATACGCACAGTATGTCTCCTTTTTTTTCCAAGCTCGTCAGTACAGTAAAAGCTTGTACATGTATAACGACGCGTTAATAAATTCAACACATACCCATTCGATAATCCAATTTACTCAAAAAACATCACGAGTTATATTATTTGTAATTTTATCTTGCCAATTACAAAAAAAAAAAAAATTTTCAATTTTTCTTAGCGGGAAGTTCAAAAAATAACGTACAAACATAGTTTAAAAAAGATGATGACGAAAAGTAGAATAAAAGTTTTATGCATCTATTAATATTTATAAATATATGTACATCAAGCAATAAACTTTAAAATTAAACGAAGCGTCAACAATTCTCTTGAATATTTTTAATCATGCTTCATGAATAGCCTGAAAGGAACTTTGTGCATCGAATATTGATCAAAGACTTGGCATTATTCACTCCCTTGTTCCTGTTGCGCTCTTGTTCTCTCTTAACTGTTATAGTCTTATATGAGCTTTTGATAGGAATGGAACGAAGAATCTGACATCGTTCAAATTAAAAGTGCTTTTAAACTATATGACAAAAGCTCTTTCGTACGGTGTCATGGTACTGTCTTTACTACTCACTTTCTTTGCAAAATACTCTAGTTTTTAATATTGATCCACAGATTTGGTAGAATCTGGCGCCAAGTTCCGTTCAAATCCGTTGTCAACGGAGCGCCAGACTACCGACTGTGTTTACTGTAAGCAGAACGGTATTTTGAGGTTGCAAAATTTTATTTAATTCTACGGTACTTTTTTTTCTTAAAATTGTATATTATAACAGTAATTCATATTTTATTTTACTGTTATTAATTAATTATATTCACATATAACAATTAATCTACTTGAAATTAATAAATTTAATCAGCACAAACTATAGCAACGCAAAAATTTCGATCCTGACTTTTTTTCGATGGGCAAAGTGATCTGCCACAGACTAAATAATTCGAGAATGCATAGTAATCCTTCATTAGATGGGAAACTACAGTTAAAAAAAGATATTTCACAACTTGCATCTACACCCGCCAGGGTGCGCTGGAATTATTTTTACATAAACTGTAGCTTCAAGGGAATAGTTTGCTATAAAAAATGCAGCCAACGCGAGATTTAAGTTGGTACCAATTGTAAATTTTTATTATACAGTAGAACCTCGATAAGTTAAAATTTAAGGGAAACGTAAAAAAATTTCTTCAGCTTTTTCTTTCAGTATTGGCCCACTTATACTGATATTTTTATCGCGACATTGCTTAAACCAAGTGAACAAACATTGTTCTAAGTCAGGAAATTCAGCTATTCTACGTCTCTTATACTGAAGTCCAACACCTAACTCTTGTTTTTTCAACAACTCTCCTTCCTTTTTTATAATAAGTGACAACGTACTCTCGTGGATTCCAAATTGAGCAGCAACATCTTTCCTTTTTGAACCACTTTTCACAACTTCAATCGCTCTCAACTTATCAGCATATGTTAAAGTATTCAATTTACGTTTCATTTTCTTGTTTACAACTATACGTTAAGCGATTAAGTGAAAGACTAAAGTGAAAATCAATTAAGCTTTTGGCGAAACCTTTTGTTTGCATACATACTTAATACGATGACTCAATGATATTACTTTAAGTTATGGAGGTCACCAAAATATTATTTTAAGTTATCGAGGGCAATGCTCAAAATAATTGTTTGAGTTATCGAGGTTTTGTACTTTAAGTAATAGAGGTTTTAAGCTGTGAAGGGAAGGGAATCAAACAAATTTTTAAGTTACAGAGGTTTTGAACTTATCGAGGTTCTACTGTAATTACAAAAAATACTAAAATCCGAACAAAAACAGTTTCACTGTAAAAAAATCGCGCCAAGTCCACGTTCATAAAACTATTAAGAAAAAAAAATTAGTTTTTTCTTTACAAAAAGATATAAAATAAAAAAATTGAAAAATCCAAGTAACCGATATGATTGTTTATGATTTTCGGAAATTAAAAAAAATTTTGTTGTAAATTTAAAAATTAAAAAAGCAATCGGTTACTTGGATTTTTTAATTTTTTATTTTATATCTTTTTTGTAAAGAAAAAACTAATTTTTTTTTCTTAATAGTCTTATGAACGTGGACTTGGCGCAATTTTTTTTACAGTGAAACTGTTTTTGTTCGGATTCATTAAATAACAAACTCAAATGCAATATAAAACTCAGATAGTATTTCCATTTTTTACTGTGTATATTAATCTAAATTATTCCAATTCATAGCTAAGTAAATTATTATAATTGTAATAAGAATTTACAAAAGAAATTTTAATAGAATCGCTCAAGAACACCCGTTTGAAGTTCCCTTTACCCTGGACGAGAGCTCGATGTCTTTTTTGTCAAAGTATGATTACCGAGTAATGAATCGATCTCGGGGACGTAATGATCCTCATCTCCTCTTATTTTCATCGCTAACGATACATTAATTGTCCAAATTAAAACGATTTGCCGCGCAAATTGCTAGCTCATCGCCGTCTGTCCTTCAAACCCCGTCGATCATTTCCACTCTCTCTCCATGATAATTTTCCCGTCTCGCAGATATAATTGGATATCACATCAATCTTAAGGCTGTCTTATCACAAATGTTATTCCGATAATACACGGAGCTATTTTAAAGCAATAAACTCAATGTTTTTGTAGAAAATATGAGATAATAATGATATTTATTTATATTTTTTAATTTTATTGTACCTTTGATGTAATAGCTTACTTTTTTTTTTCATTTGCAATATATTTCTTACTTCTAATCGAAAATAACTGGGTGAATTGAACTTTATTGAAGTCAAAGGTTGAAGATGCCCTAAACATTTCAGCGAAGTAATTTTATCCTCCGAGAAATCATTCTTCCGGAGGTTCGTAAATTACCGGAAAGCCTCTCATACCACAGTAGCTAAATTTTGTTGTATTTTTTTTCTGCTCAAACAACTCGGCTGCTCAATCATCGCATCTTCTCCCTTTCTCTCTCTGTAAATATATATTTTTGTTCTTCCTTCTTCTGTTACGGATAAGCTGAATATACCAAAGGTCTCATCTAGTAGCAGAGGTATACTTTCGACTACTCGAATACCGTCTTGAGACGTACAATTTTTCGGATTTTTGTCTTATATCTAATATCTTTTCTCTTCTTTTCTCTGACAAGACGTTTAGAGGTTCTCGATAAAAGAACATTTTGATTTAGCCGCCGTGATATGTATATAGTTATAGAAGTAAGGTTAGACGAATGAGTGTGTGTCGTAAAGAGAGAAGCGATGTAAAGAGCTCAAAAAGAAAGAAGGAATTCACTACATACCTACGCTAATAAAAAAATAAAATTTCTCTAGCTGGAAATTCACCCGCAGCTGAGGATGTCAAATAGTCGAAAAAGGAATCACTTCTGACATCCATCTACTCACGGATGAAATCGAAAAATCAGATATCGGTTCGACACACAGACATACATATATAGACTTACATCTATATAATTTGTGTGAAACTTTTTATATTTACTTTCCTTCAAAATAAAACATAATTCAAAATAAATTCGCAAAGTTATTTTCTCGTAGACAGAAACGTCTATATGAAAAACGATATTTTAAAATGTATAAAAAGTATCGGAAACTTTATTTTGACTTTTTTAGATAACTAAAGTAAAAAATGGCCCAAAGGGTATTTTGCATATAACAGCTAAATCGAAGAAAAATGTGAACAGACGTTATAAAAAAAATATATAATCAACCTTACACGCAACTGTTCGTGTTTTAAATATAAAATACAGAGAATTCGGAGTTTACTTTGTAGTCGCCGCAATGTCAGAAGCAATTAGCCGAATATCACTGATAGAACACGAAGTATATTTTTATGGATATGTAGCCTTTACTCTGATCGTACTCGGCTGATGGCCACGCACTCTACTAAACTACATACATGCACCACACGCCGGTCTTCCCTTATCGTTATTTTATCTCTTTCGCTTTCGCTTTCTCACCCTCGGTCCCTGCCTCAAAAACTATGGCTTTATCACAAACACGAAAGTTGTAAAAGATACTCTGGGCTTAATCAAATACAATTATTATTATTATTATTATTTTTGCTACTGTCATTATTACCATCGGTATATGCACAGTGTTTACTTCTTCACAAGCAACTAAAATGCTACATTATTTTGAATTATAAAACGAACTGAATACGAAATAAACTTTATTTTCCTGTTAAATAACTGTTTTTATTAAATATTTTAGTTTTACAAAAAAACTACAGCGCGTAGGTATAAAATGGAGAGACGAAATTAAATATTTAATACGAATTATATTTTTTGCCAACGCGAGATCCCTCAAACGTAGATCCTCGGGACACAACAAATCTCCAGAGTGAGAAATTATTAACGCGGAAAAAAACATCTGACGAGATTTTGAGTGGTCGTCGACAAATTTCTGTTTCTCTTTCACTCATTTTCGGTCTTTATTTGTCCCGCGGTATGAATATAAGTATATTACACGTTATACGTGGCAGGATATATGTACATAAGCATTCCCTCATGCTTTTTAACATTTGAAAGTATATACTAATACCAGAGGCCATGGTAATAACTGAATGTGCTTCGCATTTATGCTTTCGAGTCAGAAGTGTACCCGTGGGATTGTCGGGTGTTCGTTTGCATGCATATCTAAATCCCACTGCCAACGGGTCTCGGTAAAGTGTATCTAGGACAGTGGACACGTACGTTTCCGCATATTCGAGCTTTTATGTGTTTGCTTTTGAGAAAAAACACTGGAGGAAATTTCCGTACGTTATAAAAGACGTGTATAGTAATGAAAAAAAGACCAATTGCGATAGCGGGCTTCATTTTTATTTATATTTATATATATTCTTTAGCTTTGTTCCTTTTTGCTTTTGATACTCGTAAATACAGAAACTATAAGGGCTTTAAATAACCTCTATTAATATCAATATGGAGAATCTAGATTAGTTGGAAGATTAAAGCGTGACTTTTCTGTTAGATTCGTAAATTAAGTAAAAAAAAAAAAAATTTAGAAAGAGACACAGATTTTCTACAATGTAGTGTACACCTAATAAACGGACATCCAATATAATTTGGGCGCCACGTCTTTTCTCAAAGCTTTCTCGTTAACGTTCTTCTTTTCGATTAGATGGAAAGAAGTAGTTTGTAGTTAAAAGACTTCCTGACTTTTAGCTCTCAGTGCTGCTAGAGATAATTGGGACCTACTGGGAATATCAGTTGCTTCGGATAGAAAGAATTTGATTAGTGGATCGTACTAAAAACTCTTAACAAGTGAACGCCATTACGTTTAAAAGTAAAATAAAAATAAAAATTCAATAAGACTGGTAATAGTATTAGTAATACCATTAAATTGTTAGTTGCTTATTGAATTAAATCGCTCGGCTAAAGAAGCTCAGTGTTTTTGTGTATGAATAAATAGCTGCAAATTTAATAAATGAATAACGTGTATTCTATATTAGAAAAGAGCTCTCAAAAAAATACTCACGAAACCGCAGATAAATCAAGTGACGTGTTATCAGCATTTTCATTTTTCAAAAAGCAACACGTCACGTCAGGTACCGATCATTTTTCTCAAACCGTCTCTTATTTACAGCAACTCTTCAGCTCTATCTTTCTGTCTGTATAGAGCGACTTATATTTTGTATCGATTAGTTTTTGCTACTCTAGGGGAAAGTCACTTAGGTGATGATGATACCTCAGTTTATCCCTACACATCAGTCAATTTCTGTCTCCGTGACATACTCCATCATTGTCTTGTAGCCTGATAAAAACAACATAATTTACAGACATTGAAGAAGTATAAAGTATTTTCATAAGTGAAATGTACTTTTCCAAAAATTTATGGATAGATTTTTTTATTTATGTTTGTATTATAGAAGAGTATCCATAACCGAGATTGATATTGATAATATATATTAACGTTGCAGTTTGATCCATCGGGACACGAGACCGGAACCAGCGATAAGATGTTCAACCCTGAGGGGTGCTACGAGACTACCGGTGGCTCCAGATCATCGTAGCGAAGCAAGATTGAGGATCGACCCGAAGGTTCTGGTCTTTGTTGAGACTCTCTACTCGAGGGTGGGTCGAGAGATCGCCGAGTTGCTCGTTTACAATCGGATTAAGTGAGTATGATGGGCATATTCATAGAATGATAAAACTGAATTCTCGTTTTTATTTTTTGCATTTTTTTCCGAGCTTTCATATTCAAATTATTTTATGCTCGTTCCATTTACATAACTATGTTTTATTTTATATGTCAGTACATGATTTGTTAATTTCTCTTTTTTATTAAACTGTCTATGTTACAAAATTTCACAAAATACTAATTGAACATTTCATTTTATGAAATGAATTTTTATCTTGATTTTAACATATTCATTTTGTGTTCATTATTTAAATTGGATCTATACAAGTACTTTGCTTTTATGCCAAATGGTACTTTATGATTAATATATAATATACTTATTAAGGGTTAAATTAGGAACTTAAAAATATTCTTTGCATTGATGAATATTATTGAGATTGCTGTTTTATGAAGGGACATTAGTTGGCATGAGGATAACAAAAAGCAGCTTATTTTTAAGTTTAATTCTATAGAATTTCACAATTAACAAAAATTCCAATCAACTGAAAGTAAAAAGAGGAAACCAACGAAGTACTGTTCAAAGGCATATATATATATATATATATATATGAAATACTCGTCGTTAAAAAAAAATAAGACAGCAAAACAAACGAAATTCTTAAAATTACTTGAAATAAATTCAGGAAAATTAAAAAAAATAACAATTTATTCAACAAAATATATGTCGGCGGTCGATATTAATTTTTAACAAAAATTAATAAAACGTCGTAAATTAAATTTACGTTTAATTTTAACAAAATTAAAATTAATAAACGTCGTTATCTCAACTTCAATTCTTACACTCGCAGTCATACATCAGCAATCACACTATGTAATAATAGTATCACAAAAAAAAAATAACCGTAAAGCGTTGAATCCTCGCGTATTATTTTGTTAATTAAAATATGTTACAAAATCACAACGTGGACTCTAAACGCTGGATTCAACACTGAACAAGAACGTCGGCTTACCAAGAAATTGAGCGTCGTCCTCATCTTAGCAGCTTGGAAAGCTTCGTGCGGTCGACTCAAATCAATAAAAAATTTTTAAATAAATACTCAATATAAATTACAATTAATTTCAAATTAACAAATCGCGACAATACTTCGATATTAATTTTAGGTTGCGGAGCGCGCAAAAGCGCGTCCGTGTACGTCGACAGTCCAGCCTCGAATCGTCTTCTTCATGGAGAAGTACCCACTTCTTCCTTCGTTGAAGTCGACTAGTCTTCATTTCCATTGGAATTGATCCCCGTCGATAGTTGATCTAGGTCCGTATAACAGTCAACGGACCTTCACGACAGTTTTTAGTCACCTCTGCTCCTGCAGTACTGACTAACCAACTGTCATCGATGTTGATCGTCGTATTGGAAAATAGCGGCACTGCAGCGTCGATCGGTATCCAGGCCTCTCGGGTGTTTACGCCGCTCGGTGCCTCGTCACTTCGGTACTCTTCGATACTAGCTTGTTTACGTCGTAGCTCCATCCTTGTCGCTCCAATGCATAGCCTCGTACCCACTGTGACTCGCTCTGTCTTCGTTACTCGTCCAGCGTTACGCATTTTACACAAAATAAATTAATAAAAATTAGTATAATTTTCATTCATTCACACATAACATTCACGACGTTGGATTCGAGCCTGGAATATTATGATACCCCAAGTATTGGGCGTCGAATAAAAATTTACCACGTTACAATATATATATATATACGAGAGCAATGGACATTTACGTGTAACTTTCATAACCTCAGTGATACCTCATAATTGGTAATAATATATCGAAGCGCTATGAAAGCTAGTAATTAACAGCGTGATTGCGTGATGCAATACTATGTTCCAAACTTAATCAAAATGAAACGGAAAAATAATTAAAGCAGCGTTAGAATTCTAATTAATTAAATACTGAAGGAAATTGAAAAAGAGCTCGAGACCAGTGGATTTGTAGCAATTATATTCATTACAAAAGAAAGAGTGAAAAAAAGGGTGAAAAGTGTGGAGTAGAGGTGAAAATTGAATTACCCGACAAAAGTCGATCACACAAGTCCAACAAGGAACTTTAAATAAAAGAGCTGCTGAAGGTATAAATTGCTGGAGAAGGTGGAAATTGACGAGAAATGCCAGTACGTTCATTAAGATAATCACTGATGCCTGAATAAATTTCAAACTCGGATCACTCCCAACGATTTGGCTCGCTTTGCAGTATATACACGTTATTTCCTCTTGCTTGCATCCTCTCTATATATACATTTGCACACCAGTTAGGTATGTCGTTTTCACTGGTACGAAATAGTTGTACCACCCAATTTCTCTCTCTATTACTCCACTCTGTATACTTAAAAATATGCATACACTCGCATTACCTCTAATCTTTGTTTATCACCACTGATTTCCGGTTTTGTTAGTTTTTATGCTCATGAAATTATAATTTACTAAATCTCTATCCATTTTTATGGCCTCATTACTCAGTTGTTTTTCAATTTTTTATTTCAATCTCTTACTTCCTATATTCATACTCATAAAGAAACATTATTGTACTCATTTTTTTTTTAATTCTTGTATTATCAAACATTCCAAATGAATGTTGTTTTGATAGAGATATTTTTTTACAATCTTATCAAGGCTTAAAAGTTTCAAATGAGATGTACCAGACGTACCACATTTAAACTAAATATATTCAAGTTTAAAGTCGAAAAAATCTTGAAAAAAATTAACAGTGTTTGTATGCAGGAATCAAACCTACGTCTTTTGATATCGCGCGAACTGTTTTAAGTCAAACTAACATTGACTATGTAATGGACTAACACATCATTTGCTTTTAACTTGACACAGCAATCATTTGAACATACCAACTTTTTTTCATTAAGAACGAGTCACATCTTTTCTCCCCTTGCACTCATCGAGAGAATCCGTACTATTTTTGTCACTCGCAAAAGTGAAGCTATTGCAGATATTTAAATAATCTATCGAGTAACAGAGCATTTTTTCTAAAATTTTTCTTTATTTATAAGAAATTCATGAACCTGTAATAACCGAGACCGCTTCTTAATCCGAAAATATAACCTAACAATCCAGAGAATAATTACGTCTGAATTCTTAAGTAGAAAGTTAATCAACTGACAAACCAATAGCTCAATAAATTAATGAACTGACGGTGAATTAAATCAATACTAATGTCAGTTGATGAAATACCATTGAAATTGCTAATAGCTCACATACCGCTAGTAGCAGAATTAATTTCGCATCATTAATGTATCATCAAAATTACAATCATGGCTCGAGATTATTGAGGTAAAAGTACTTTGTTGCTAAATTAAATCCCTTTATCCCTTTATCAGATTACAATTCAATCTAGGAGATAGCCTCTAGCCTCTAGAGCATACAACCCACCAACTAAACAGATCATTAAACTCCTTTCCATTAATTTTTTTTTAATCATCAAAATACCAATCGACTATTAAATTTTATCGATAATTTCTATTTACCGAACAAAGTAACTCTGTCAAATTCACTAACAATATTTGCGGTATTGTACAATAGGTTGGTTGAAAAAAAAAATTTTTTTGCCAGCCATTTAATAAATTAAAAAAGAGAACAATCGCCCAACACCTGAATAAATATAACAATTAGTTTATTATTCATACACTGTAGTGATCGGGTTCGGTCTGTCTGGCAATATAAAGATTAAAATGGACCATTTGAATGATCGACTGGAAATATTAAACCGCAACTATGTTACAATACCTTTGATGAAAATTAATTATCAGTTAGCTGCACACATAACTTTAGTGAGAGAATTCAATTGCGGACTGGTCTACTCATACAAATAACGTTATTACTTTATACATATATAGATCACAGTTATTGAGAGCCCTTTGTCATCGTAGATTCAAGGCTATAATATATAGAATATCGTATATACTGAACTGAAGTATGGTTGATATAAAGACAATGATATAGACATAGACATAGACATAGACACAGATGGCTTTATGATTAAGTCTTGTATAACTCTCTGAGGTAAAGCCCTTTTAGTACCCTCGGAAGAAAGAGGTCATTGAATTCTGAAATGGCGACTTAAAGCCAGAGAACATCCTGGGTCAAAGTAGAAACCAACTATGCTCAAACGGTTAATCCAACTGGACCGCATTGTTTGGAAAGGGAATCGCAGAAACACGTGCCAAACTTTCGTTAAAATAGTCCAGTTAAATGTAACGTTCTGTCCGTTCAACTGTCGTCAACGTCGACATAATTAGTTCGTATGCATATGCCAGTATTTTTTGTTATTGCTTTTGAAATTTTTTTTCAACATTCAATAAATTAAAGTGTGCCGCAACATCTTTAACATCTATATGGTGAATCGATTCAACGAAATCGCCTTGAATATGAACAATTACGTCGAAACTTTTAAAAGAAAAGTGTAGTCTTGAGATTACACGAAAATTGAGGATAAAAAGAAAAAAAAAAGAATAATCAAAAAGTAAAGGAGCTAAAAAGCTCTATAAGATACCCGACAACCCAGACATCTGCCGAGAGTTGAATATTATCTCTGAATGTCGTACCTTTTACCTATTATGTAGTTTCATCTTTAGGAATCCATACAAACCTTTGAGCACTCCTCCACTAGCTAGCTATCATCCCACTCAATAGTTTCATCCTCAACATTTTTTTTTCTCCTATATCTTTCACGAGGACTCTTGTGTCCGAGCTTTCACCGTCATCATCAACTCCATTCATTTGTTCTATTCTCACAATAGTGAAGTACTGTGGGCGTTTTTTCTCTCTAAATGAACAGCAACTCTAAATTTCATGTAGCGTCGATAATATTTTTTTTTTTTTCGATGGAGTTTTATAAAAAATTAATTTAAATAAAGATTAGATCTGCATGGTAAATTTTCATTCATGTTTTAATGGTTAAAGGAGGAGAAATTTAGATGAATAATTTAGAGGATAGGATTAAAATTTTAGATCAATACGAAAGTAATGGAAAATGTTTGATGGAGAGTTTGGGAGCGCCTGAGGTACATGTGGTAATAAAAATGATGAAGAAGAAAGAGAAAAATAAAAAGAAGGTGAAGTTAAAGTTAAAGTAGACGGGAAAGTAGGGAAAGGAAAATGGTGTGATCGATTAAAAACTTCGTTATTGAGGGTAAATCGGAGAGCTAGTGGCTGTATGACGGTGAATGCATTTCAGATGAATCCCTAAAGGCTACAAGCTATTTAAAGGTAAAAAAAAAGACATGGAAAAATCCCAAAACACGAATGGACGTTATTACTAGCTGAAATTGTGAAAGCCGCAAGCACGAACGAGCTGTCATGTGAAAAAGGTCTAAGTTCTTGAGAGAGTGGTCGAGAAGATAACCTGAAGCCAATACCACGTGTTCACTCTACTTTTCGGTAGACAACCTCCAATTCAATCTGAAAACTGGCGTCTGTTGGATACGAAGAATAAAAGAGTTTCGCGTAATATCCAGTTTGTTCATTTATTTTTAAGTTCATACGTAAGTGTGTACTATACAGATTTTTCTCCTATCCAGTTTCTTCTATCCAGGTCCTTGCCGATCAACTTGAAACGATCTCCTTTTGTACAAACGAGTGTGTTCCCAATTTACGAAATTGTGTGACTGCTATTTTCTCATTCTCCTTACTTGCGCTCTTTGTTCACGATTGGCACTTGTGTGAGCTTTGCTCGTATCGGCAAATATTCTCTCTCGGGACTGCGAACAACTCATACAATATATATATATATATATATATATATATATATATATATATATATATATATATATATATAGACAATACACCTGCATGCATACAATATCGAATTGGTTATTTCGCGAGCAAAGCACGAAACTGCTTTCAGCGTACTTGCGAATCGAAACCAGGGAGGCTACGCATCCTTCATGAATAATTCTACGTGTCGCGTTATATACCTGTACATAAGAGCGTGCAGGATATTCATCCAGGGATTCTAAAGACCATCTAAATCCAAAGATTTCTCTCCATTTGTCTTTAAAGTTTAATTTTTATGATAAATTGCCGTTTAAGAAAAAAAAAAAAAAAAGAAACTAAAAACCGACTTAAGGAGTCAACTTGGATATGAATACTGTCATTTCAAAAATAATTTGTTTGAAATCTACAGTTTTGAAAATTATTTTTCGTTTTTTAGAATTTTTTTATGATGAAAATTTTTTTTGTTAAAATCATTGGTACAACTTTAAAGTAGGCATTACAATGAACAAATCGATGTATATCAAAAATGATTTTGGTCTAAGATATCGTGTTAAAAAAATAACTGAAAGCCAAAAGAAGTGTAATTTTCTTGAAATCATTAGTTTTGAGGACTATCGTAAGATTTTCAGGAGTTTTTCAATGAAAAAAATTTTTATTGCCAACACTTTGATCTGTACCTTGACGTCGAATTCTTGAAAAATGAAATAAAAGAATAAAATCTTATGTAATGAAATATATTATGTATAAATGTTTCATTTAAAAATAAATCATTACTGGAATTAATCAATAATCTCAACACTGCCTTAAGAAAACTGAATAATTCCCTACACATTATTTATCACTAATCAGAATTCGCATCACATCCTCACGATTCTGACTCTACTGACAATCAATGTTAGGTTGATAGTCAATATAATTATCACGTTAAACTTAATTAAGATTTATTTTCATTGTGGACTAACGCTCGAACGGGTGGATGACAAGATAAGAAGACGTCGCATTGATCCAAGCCTTATCCTGTGAAATGTCATGTAAGAACACTCCCGGAGGTACATACGTGACATGAATACCGAGAATCTGTCGGGAAAATACACTCACACATTTATACACTTCAATGAGAAATGTCAACTTCTCCGTAACAATAATTCTTTCCAAGGCAGTATTTATATGTATATTTTTTTCATCCCTCTTCAATAAAATACATCAAATAAAAATTACTTAATATATTTTTACTAAAATAAAAAATGAGTCCAATGAAAGCAATTTAATGAATTATTTTGCAATTCTTCATTGCTTTGTTCTCTGTGTTACGTTTGAGGTGTCATAAAAAAACAATTATAATGATAATAAATAGAGTATTTGCGCGAATTTTGACAAAGCCGCTGAGAAAGTGAAAGAGAATCCCATGGTGTTGGTTGACAATACGACACAGCTGGCTAAAAGGACCCTTTTAAATTACATTCTATCTCGAGGTATACACACTACTCTCACAAAAAGAGAAAATATATATCTATATATAATGAATACTGAGAGTAAAGGCGAATACAATCCAGAGGCTTGACAAAAGATCGTACACTCGGTTTTTCAACTGCATTTTATCAAGCTGTCGGGCACAATTTCTTTCCTTTACCCTCAGTCAATCATTTACTTTGTTTAACGAATTTACACTGATAAATAAAAACTTATCAAATAAATAATTTGAAAAAAAAAAAAAAAAAAAAAAAAAAAACCTTTTTCAAAGCTAAAAGCATGATTTATCTCTACTCGTAATCTATAAAATCTTTTTATTTTCACATAATAAAAAACGAAATCAAAGAAAATGGATGAAAAAATAAAAATATCGAGAAACATCGACAACTATTTTATTTACTGTTGGATAAAAAATTTCTAGGTATTGATCAATATTTGACTGGCTGACTCTATTGGAAATTGATTCACACAAATTTTATTTGAGATAAATTCTCTTTGCCTAATGGAAACAGTTATAATCTCTATCTCTATATGTATATTTATATGCATGTGTATATTTGTAAGTAGTATTATGTTTAAATACATTTATTCTGGGGAAAATAAAATAGATATATTGGATTGACTACACAACTACGGTCTCAAAGTGATTTGGAATTAATATCGTCGGTGAATGTAAATGCGTGTGCGCTAAGAGAATTTTTATGGAAAAATAGAAAAAAGGAAAGAGAAGAGAGGCTGAGTATGAGTACAGAAGCAAAAACGTTGTTGGATATTGTCAAATTAATAATGCACTTATACACGTTGTACAAACAGTACAAGAGAGAAATTGCGAATGACATGTTTATACATATATCTATGTGTGTTTAACCAGAAGGGTAGCTAGTATGTAGAAGCGACACAAATGAATACTAGGCATCACAGTGTACGAGAGACAGACTATACTTTTTTTCCATCTCTGAACAACTGCCACGATCGTGTTGATTACTTAATTAATATTGGTGGATTTGCATATGTGTGGATATTTGTACATGATGAATAACTAATTAAGTCACGTCATCGCCAGAAACTATTTAAAAACCTTCCGCTGATTCAATCAAAATGCCCTGGTTTAGTTGATAAACAATATGATTGGTTAATTTGCGGATTGACTGATATAATATTATGTAAAATATGACTGATTTTCAATTTGGTTTGAAATTGTTATTTTTTTTTCTTTTTAGATACAAAGTAGAAGTAGCGGGTAAATCATTGCCAGTGCTGACGAACCTCGATAAAGGGAGATACGGTGTGCTGGTATTTGAAAATCTGAACAAGTATCTTCAAATGGACAAATGGAACCGTGAGTTGCTCGATAAATATTGCCGCGAATACTCTGTTGGAATTGTTGGATTTGCACCACCCGGTGAGGAAAGTCTTGTGGGCGCCCAATTGAAAGGATTTCCATTATTCATCCACACGAATTTACGACTCAAGGTAATTAAAATTTTTAATTAATATTATAGAAGAAAAAAAAATGATTAGACAAATAAATAAAATTAATTTTATAAAATTAGTTGATTGATCGAAGTGAAACAAAACAAATCGGATTTTTTCTCTGTGATCCATGACCTAAAAAAAAATAAAATAAAATAAAAAACGAAGCCAAGAGCGCTGATTAGTTGCCCTCATAGAGTGCGATTCAGGGTCGAAAGTTCTTGCTCCATTTCCGAGATTACATTCCCCGTCTTTAGATTTTCTGTCTTTCGATTCAGTGGCGCGTGAAGACGCGATCCACATTCACCGCGGATATACTCTATTGTTCCTTTTAAACAAGAAGACTAATTTTTTCCTCCCTTTATGTAATAATATTAGATCCTTGATATTTTTTCCTTTGCTTTTTATTATTATTATTATTATTATTATTAGTAATCCATTTGTTTTATTCCTCACTCATACGGTTTGCTTTGGTCGTTAGGATGCACAGCTGAACGCGGCCTCACCTATCTTGAGGTTGACCAGATCCGGCGAGACTGCCTGGGGGCCTCTACCCGGTGGTGACTGGACCATTTTTCAACCAAACGACAGCACGTACGAGCCACTAGCCTGGGCGTACCGAGACAGCCTCGACTATACTAATCAAAAAACTCCTCTCGCCACCGTGATACAGGTATTATTATTATTATTATTATTATTATTATTATTATTATTATTATTATTATTATTATTATTATTATTATTATTATTTCACATACATATTATAAAATTACTTTTATAACTCAGTGACGTTGAATTTAACTTGATGATATTACCTGCTCTTAAAATGACATTTTCACTTTTAATTATTTAGAAGTGAAGAGTAGGTTAGCGCTCAAATATTTCAGGATAAAAGTATATTAAATTAATAATTTTAATTACGAATTCTTTATCACTCTGAACACTTAAAATTGAATTCGCTATTATTATACTCAGTATTAATATAATTCTGACATTTATCGATCTTATCTCTTGTCATCGAGTCTCATTAAATTTAACAAAGCTCATTTTCACGAGTTGTAATTAAATTATACTACCTACCTTCATATTTAGTTGGAACTTTCATGTTTAATTATATAAGATAACACTAAATTCAAAGTCTACTACTTAGAGATTAAGTCAATTATCTATTTTTGACATCAACATCACTAAGTATCTGATCTGATCTTATTTGATAAAACTTTTTATTAAATTGCAAAAAAGATCGTCGAAATTTTTATTGCTAAAAGAATCTCAAAAAAAAAAAAATAAAAGAGAATATGAGTCTTGTGCAAGCATAAGCACGAGAATAGAAATACAATCGGTTTTATAATTGTTTCAAGTCGGGTGAGGTATTAAACACTTGTGGCTGGGTCACAGTTGAATAGACCAGAGTAATGGGCGCGAATTAATACAATAAAGACAACGATGACAATGATCTACTCAAGTAGGTACTTTATAAACGTATAAACTGTTCCCGTAAAGACAGAGTGTGCGTTACTAAAACAATTCGTAAAGCTGTTTAAACTCGCGTTTGCATTTAAGTGGAAATTTCACTGCAATTGTGCAAAATTCCTTTCCTACGAGTTGAATTGTTAATACATTGAACTACGGAAGAAAAAGAGGAAGATGATTCTGATATAAAACTACCCTCGTAAACTTTTCCCGAGTTATGATACACTCAATATTCTTTGTAACGAAAAGCTAAAAGAAAAGAAAATAACAAAATAACAAAATGAAATCGCATAGGTATGATAGTAATAAAAAAGTTAATTCGCTTTGCAGAAAAGTTTTAAACAAGCGTTTTGTGCGTTAAATCGGGTCGCGTATGCAGACAATAGAACAGAATATTTTATGAAGCTTGACGATGGAATATTTTGTACAAAATTGGATCGTTAATCAGAGCATAAATGAGAAAACATTCTAGCAGTATAGTAGAATTAGTAGTTGTAATGTGTGTATGTGTGTGTGTGTGTGTGTGTGTGTGTGTGTGTGTGTGTGTGTGTGTGTGTGTGTGTGTGTGTGTGAACTAGGATGTGGGTTTGTTTCGCGAATAAAACAAATTGACAATGCAGACCAGTGTGTGCGGGTTAACGTTGGCGCATTGCTGATTAATCGAATGAATCCACAGCTGATTGACTCCAGATTTAATTATCTCAAGTTGGAATGGTGATGAGGATCATAGTTGTTCAACAGCTGGTGCACCTGGTCTACGTGTGGGTTTACAGGTGACCCTTTAATTATATTATCAGTGTGATTATTATTGTTCAGTGTTAACAAGTTCACTTGAACACACATACACACTTTACGGGTTTAGTTTCTAATGGTACTGGTAGTGATGTTGCTGATGTGAGAGAGGATGAGAACAGTGTAGAAGCAACTGAAGGGTTTGTTGATGTCGACTAACATAATTAACTGTTTCTGCCAACGTGTCACTCGTAATACAGTTTTCCAACAGTCTCTATTGTTATTTCACTTTATATATAATATGTATATTTACACGAAATACAATGGAGTAATAAACTGTATATACTGGATAATTAATATTTGAATAATATAATGTATATGTGTCTTCATATTCCGTTAGAATTGACAATAATTATAATGATTATCACTGCTAATGATGAAAATGGTTGAATTTAATTGCAGGATCACGGAAGATATGATGGTATACAGCGAGTGTTTTTTGGAAGCGGACTCCGTTTTTGGCTCCACAAATTACTCTTACTGGATTCGCTTTCGTATTTATCACACGGACAATTGAGCCTCAGTCTTAATCGCATGATACTGGTGGATGTAGATGATATATTTGTTGGTGAAAAAGGCACGCGATTGAAGAAGGACGACGTTCTGGCGCTTTTGGCAACGCAACAAAGGATCCAAGCGCTCGTGCCAGGGTTTAAATTTAACTTGGGGTTTTCCGGAAAGTATTTCCATCACGGAACGTCCGAGGAGAATCTGGGGGACGATATGCTGCTGGAGAACGTCGACAGGTATGTTGATCTATTTTTACACCTTTGTTGATAAAAAAAATTCACTTGATCTGAGAGAAAAAAATCTTGAACTTAGATAATTATTTTGATCATTTTAAATAAAGCAGAAAAATTCTTAGACTAAAAAATTGTTTTTGTTTTTAGTAAATTTTACTTGATCCAAATGATCAAATTCTTGAATATAATATTCTCGATTCAAAATTTTTTACTCTTTAATAAAGTTAATTTTTTTCATCAGTTTACTAATAATACGAACAACAACTAATTATGATGAAAATATTACCCAATTATGTTGAGACAGATTCTCGTGGTTTTCACACATGTGGAATCACCAACAGCCGCATCTCTACGAGAATGTAACTCATCTACAATTGGACATGGGCCTTAATAAGCAATTTGCAAAGGAACACGGTATACCGACGGTGAGTGGTTACAGTGTCAGTCCTCATCACTCAGGAGTTTATCCGGTACATGAGGGACTGTATGAAGCTTGGAAGCGAGTTTGGAACATCAAAGTCACCAGTACCGAGGAGTATCCACACCTGAGACCTGCTCGACTTAGGCGTGGCTTCATTCATCGCAATATTATGGTACAGGAAAATCGATAGACCTACTAAACAGTAAGAAGAAGAGATAAAGAGAGAAAGAGGGATACTGATAGTTAGATGTATACCCACAGATAAACCTACATCATATAATATACGTATATATATCTAGAGATTCAACGAGTATTGAGAGAGTTTGCTATCAATTTACGAGTTGCAAAAGGCTTCAAGCCATTTTGCCAGGATCATTCTAAACTGTTCGACTGAGATATTCTTTGATGCAGTATCAAAGATTCTCGAATAAGAGGAACCGTCTCAAGTGGCTCAGTCAGCAATAAATTTCTCTCTTTCTCTCTTCCCCATCAACTTTAGCCGCGATCAAAGATTATCCTTCTTTATACCGAACTTTATATATATATTTATATCCACTAGATGTATACCTATATATAATGTACCATGAATTCGAATAATTTTAAGTTTAAATTGTATTTTCAATTACAATATCGTACTTTTATGCTTAAAGGTTTTGCCACGACAAACTTGCGGGCTTTTTACTCATACAATTTTCATTGAAAGATATCCCGGTGGAAGAGACAAATTGGATGAATCTATACAGGGCGGTGAATTATTTCAGACCATTGTTTACAATCCAGTAAGTTTATAATTGAGTTTTCACTTGTTATTTTTTTCACAACTATTAATATTGTTGTTGTGATAATAATCTTAATTTTAAAGTTTATTGAGTTATTAATACAAAGACCGATAATTACTTCTCAGATAAACATCTTCATGACGCACATGTCCAATTACGGTAATGATCGTCTGGCTCTTTATACATTTGAATCGGTCATTAAATTCATCCAGTGCTGGACAAATCTACGGCTTTCGAGTGCCCCGCCGCTCCAATTAGGAGAACGCTATTTCCAATTATACCCTGAAGAGGCGGATCCCGTTTGGGGAGTAAGTGAGCTAATTAATCCCTAATTAAGAGTTATGTCGATAATACACCTTCTCACTCGCTCATTCATTTATTTGCTTACGCACTTAAATCATATTTCACCCGCAAAATCTCTTGTACTTATTGTTTTTTTTTTTTTTTTTTTTTTTATAAATTATTATTAATTGTTTTTATTAAAATTTTTCAGAATCCTTGTGATGACCCCCGACACCAAAAAATATGGTCGAAAAATAAGACCTGCGATCAATTACCGAGGTTTCTCGTTATTGGCCCACAAAAAACTGGGACGACAGCTCTCTATACATTTCTCTCAATTCACCCGGCAATAAGCAGCAATCTACCCAGTCCTGATACTTTTGAGGAAATTCAATTTTTCAATGGAAAAAATTATTACAAAGGGCTCGATTGGTATGACGTTTTATTCTTATTATTATTTACTTATAGTCTAAGAACTTTATAACTTTAAACAATGTAAATACCGCTCGCTGTTTATATTTATTCAAACGAAACAAAATTTAATTAACTTTGAAAATTCAAGTGTATCAAAAGTATTTTTTCTTTTCTTCAAAATAATTCAGAACTTTTTAAATTAAATGAAAAAGTTTTTAGAAACATATTCAAATATTTAGTTAGCATTTATATCAAGAAAAACAAAAATAATATTCCAATGATTTGAATCGTTTGAAAAAAATATATTGAACTAGAGCTTGTATTATATTAATCAGAAACGCCCCCAATACCCGTATCGTAAATAAAAATATCTATGATCAAGAAACGTATTAGTTATTCAAGAGATAGCCTAAAACTGTTATGTTATACTCATTATTTAATCTAAGTTTTGTATCATACACACATTAAACAATCAACTTTGATTAAGTTCAAGGCTTAAGTAGCTGTGAGATATTTCGTTAAAAAATTCTCGGCTTATTTATTACTCACTCGACTATCAAAATTATAATTCTTTATCTCAAGATGTTATATTATTGACTGGCGTATAGCATAAGCAGTAAAAATACCGCTTTAAGCGTAGAGTTTTAAATCACCGGCAGATATTATATTATATAATAATAATAACAATAAGTATGAAAAAGAATTCGTTTTAGAGTAGATTAGATAGTTTTTCTAAACAAACAGTAACATGACGACAATATATCTGTTTAAATCTTAAACAAACATCTATAAATATTATTATTTACTTGTTTACAATCTGCTAGTTCAAAAAATAAAGCACACAAAGCATGTGCCGCCGCTGACAAACATAAATTGAAACTAGTAGGCATGTTGTTTGTGACGGCTGTTTAAAAGATATATATTTTCATTTTATGGAAAGTACAAATATTTGTACAAATAGTTATTTTGTCACTAACTGAAGAGAAATGATATTTTTGTTGAAAAAAAATTGTTTACTTAAACATTGAATTTATTGATAATTATCAGTAAAATATACTGTCATAAATTTTTTAAAACTAATTAATTTCTTTTCAATTAAAAATTTTTTTCCAATAATATACGTGTAATATTTTATCAGCGTAGTTAGCATTTCCGATCTAAATAATGACTTCAGCAAATACATTAAAAGTAAAACTGTAACGATAGTAACTTCTGTCAAAAAAGTTTTCAATTGAAATTCACGCAAGGTAGAGAGAGTTTAATAGATTTATAGACGAATGCTCATCCAACTAATATTCTCATTTATTTAATTGAAATTCAAACTTTTAAAATTAGTATTGAATTAACATATTCAAAATTAATTTTTCCTTTTAGTGTAGAGTATAGAATTAATTATTAAAAACTAGAGTACATTAAAAAAATTATAATTCGAATAAATTTAAATCCCTTGAATAAAATTTTAATTAATGACTAGCAATCTTGCAGTCACTATGTGACTGCCGTGACTTGTGAACTATAAATAAATAAAATTTTGCTTTATTAAATAATGACTTTTGTTAGAATTGTACTGTACTTTTTTAATTATTTCCATTTTTAAAGATCTAAGCTCATCCCGATGTTACATTCATCAAGAGCTTTCATTTGAGTACCCACATACATTTTGATATATTTTTCATATATACATACATATAATATATATATA